TGTCAATCACGGGTTCCAGTAGTGAAATTCCATTCCTATTACAAATCTGCTGGGACAAAGTTGAACGTAATCTGTAATGCTAGACGCGGTACTCCCCGCCCTTTGGCCACCCTGACATTTAACGGCCGCGGCCGCTGGCCGCAGCCATCCAAGTCTTGATTACTACTTTTTGTCTTGATTAATCCAACGCATGTGTTCTGTGATATTTGCAACACATTATAGTATCAAAATGATTGCGTAAAAAGTGCTACAAATGCTTGAAACCCTCTGTTTACATACAAATATGTGCGAACATGAAGCTATTATCACGCGAATTCAACGAAACGTCATGCGATGGCTTTAATTTTCCCTGCAGCGTTTACCCCAGTGGATCTTTTCAAAGCGCACTTTGGCCTTGGGAATGAGAGCGTCAAATGACCCATCTGACGCACTGGTTCAAACTTCAACCGATGCGCTCTTTGGTAACAGGACATTGTCCGCTGGGTCAATCACAAACGTTCTTTTATTCGCACCAGTACAGATGCGCATGGTGGTTGTCATGACGACGATGGTCGCGACTGCAGGGAAGAAGCGGAGTGCTGTCACAAAGCGTTGGCAGCGTAATTCGGACTCGAACATGAATAAAATTTATATCCTTATTAGTCTTCACGGTACTGCCATGGCATTACCCAGTACTATTATTAGACTAACTAGTTCTGAGGTTTTACCAGAGCATGATTTTGAAACATGCCCCAAAGGTGGGACCCTCCCTTTAAAGGCATGAAATGAACCCGGGTGATCTGTGATTGGAAGACAGCTCACAAATATAGCTGATATGCATCTAGCACTGCTGAGACGACACAAATTATGTCATTGCCTCAAAATTTACCCGTGTGACGTGTTTTGACGTAACCATTGTGACGATCCACGAAATACATTCACGTCCGTCCTGTACCGGTGTCGGTCACAGCTCACCGGCACAACGAAATTCTTTGGCATTTTGTCAGGGAGACACTTCTCATGTGTACGAGAAACGAGGTGTGCATAGAGCAAGCCGTTAAAAACACGATGTGTAGCGTGAACAACGATAAAATACGGTCCTCCATCACAAGGACACTTAGATTCGGTGGCATCATTCATATATCAGATGCTCTCAGTGTATGGAAGGGCTTTCAATGGGATATTATTCGAGTGATTGTGACTGCTCAAGGGGTCGGAGCTGCTACTTGACACGCATTTTGCGGTCACGGGAGGCGGCACAATTGAAGAGGCTCTTCGCGCAGGGAAAAGAGCGGAAACCAATAGTCACTGGCAACATGTGGGTGCCAAATGTCTTTTAGACATAATCTTACCTCACGCGTGTGCTCTGGTCAAGTACGGGTCAAAGGGCAGAGGGTTCTCAGGGCCACGTCCAGAATACAGTGAAAAGGGAATGCCCTTCTTTCAGACCAGGTTTGTGAATGTCTGCGGAGGGTTCGGAAAGTAACCCAAACATATTCGACACCGGAATCTACCTTGGCTCTGACAGGTACACTGCGGGTGATCGTGAAACCTATAGCCCTTACATGCTGACAGCTCCTAGCTTTCGCAAGATCCGAATCTGGTGAAATATTTGTGAACCCTGTGAATCCGTGCCCTTAGCTTTATTTCATAACCACTTGTTTTATCACTTTCCTGACAGCTTTCATATCGCGGTGACTTCAATCTACAGCACCCTCTGGCTGTCACTGAACGCCTGGAGATATTACGGTGAACGCCTGTATCCCTTCCACAGCTCCCTACCGTCGGTAGTGTGGGGGACTCGACATGGATTTATGCACAATTTCATCATATTTTTCATTTAATTAGTGAGCCGAAGATTTTGGTTGCAACAACGCGTCTACAAAACATTGGATACACACCGCAGGCTGCTTGCACAGAAGCTGACAAACACCGTCGCCATCATGACGCTCCCGACATCTCGCAGGCACCTGTCAGCTGGCTTGCAGCATTGGCGCGCTTATCTCGCCCGGGCTGTCTGCACTGATGTATCTCCAAAAGGGTTTTCTTTGCAAATTTGCGATTTTGTGTTCCGGTGTTGATACAGTTACGGACAGAAAATTGACTTATGACCGCAGTTCATGACAGTTGCCATCTGATGAATTCGGCAAGAAGCAATAAATAAAATAAACAAAGTAGCAAAAAGGTGACAACTGAGTACATGCGATTAAGAATGTGACCGGTTCCTTTAATGCATCATACGGAATGAGAATCATTAACTTGACTCTTGCCCGAATTTTCACGCTTACTTTCGCCCAGGAGGTACCAAGGGGGAGACCCCACCACATCCCCATAGGGTGAGGGGGGTAATTTGAACACGCTGGTAAGTTGATCCACTCTCCGTATCTCTTCTCCCAAGACTCCATTGTTTCCGAGCGGTTCCCTGAAGCTCGGAACTTTTTTGCTCGGTCTTACCTGCTGTGACGCGAGCGGCAGCGGGTGGACGGTGTGTGCGCTCCCAGCATTAATATGATTCTTTCCCATTATGTAAATATTTCCGCGAATATATCACGTTTTTTGTTGCCTCCGGTACTGGATATTTCATGTTTTTGCTGATGTATTTGACCATGTCTGCTCTTGAAATCGTGATAGATTTTGCGCGGCTGAGCTTGAAAGCAAATAGTCAATATGCTGCTTCATTTGCCATATCGTAGTGGGGCAATTTGTTCCAACACGGATGTTGGTAAGATGATTATGGGACAACTCAACCCAATACAGGGGCGACACACCGCAAGCTACGTGTCTGGCTCGTGTCAACGCTTTCAATAAGCACGTGGTGGGAGCAGTATAAAAAAACCTGGAGAGAGGGAGAGAAAAGCACATGTTCTCGCCTGAGAACATCTTCAACGTTGATGAGACGGGCGTAATCACGGTGCAGACACTGAGAAGAGCGGCGGCGAAAAAAAGGGGATCGAGGCAGGCGGACTCCGTCGCCTCCGCAGAAAGAGGAGAGTTGTGCACGCTGCTTTGTTCAGCCAACGCCGTCGGGAGTTCTGGAGCACCCCTCATCATCTTTCCTAGAGTGAACTTCAAGGGCCACTTCCTTCGAGGCACACCTACCGGCACTGCAGGATGTGCAACGAAGGGGATGGGTAAACAAGGATATGCACCTCGAGTACCTCACCCACTTTCAAAGACCCACTCGGTGCTCAGTAGAGCAACAAGTCCTCACCATCCTGGACAACCACGCCTCTCAAATCTCATTTCGGACGAGGGAATTCGCTCGCGCCAACAGGATCACGATTCTTACGCTTCAGCCGCACACTTCTGACCGCCTTCAGCCCCTGGACGTAGCGACCTTCGGCCCGCCGAAGACTTACTACAGCAGGGCGATGACGGCCTGAATGTGGACAAATCCAGGGGAGCGGTGACAAGCTACGACATCCAGCAAATCATGGATATCGCGCACGCCACGTCGTTACCGGCTCCAGCATTCAGTCCGCGCTCAGAGCAACTGGGATCTTCTCTTCGACAGAGAAGTCTCCCCGAGTAGGCATTCTCACCGGCGGATGTGACCGACAGGCCGCTCCAGGATGCCTTTAGTGCCGGACCAAGTGGTGCCCTGCAGGGGGCGGCTTCTCGAACGTGGGACCAGGTAGCACCCTTTTACGGACTGAGCTGGGGTCCGGTGGAACTACGCTGGATGCACCAGTCACCAGTCATCAGTCGCCTGTGCTGCAGTAGGAGCCATACTGCCCATTTCAAGAGTTTCGCCACAAAAAGCGGACCAGCCAATCGTAAGCGAGGATGATCGATGCAAAGCAAAGCAAAACAAAGACACAAGGCGGGCAAGTGAAGCGGAAGTCGACGAATTAGAGAATGCCGTCTTCCGACGATAATAGTGATGAACATAAATATATGCTATCCCATGCCAATGTGTAAAAGCCAGGAACATCTATGCATTCGCATAGGTGACAAATACTGTTCAGCTGCCACTCTACGTGGAACATTACCCCTCCCATAGGTTAGATGTGCAATCGGACGCGGCCACGAAGACTCAGAAATTACGTCCATTACATAGGTTACATATTTTACTGCCACACTTATACGTGCACAAAAGATCAACGTTTCACCCTGCACAGTCAAAAGCTCAAAATTTCCATTCATGTTATTACAGTTCATCAAAATGGAAAAGTGCTTTTCTTACAATAGTTTACGCTGCGTGTCAGCATGAGGGTTGTCAACGTCAACCATTGTTCCCGGGTAACTTGGTTGTTCCCAAGGCCCATATCCTCGAATCCCCCCATGTGCTGACAATAGGCCCTACCCAACACTTGTGCAAAAGATAACACTCCAAATTCAACTGAAAATATGCCTTCCAACATAGCTTTAGCGGTCTCAGTTTCAACAGGCAAAAATTCAACGGACGTACACAATTCTGAGTTGATCGTTTTTGAAGCTAACGAATACATTAATTCGTGAACGAAATACTCTTCTGGTTGATTAGCATATTTACGTTTGACGACTTGGTGCCCACCTCTGCATTTTGACATTTTTTAGGCTCTGTCCAGGCTCAGCGAGCATACATGTTTTGTGTTTGTTCCCTCCATTCAGGCGTGTAGTTTCGGCAAATAAGTTCTTTCGTCACAAAGTTTGACGGTTCAACAGTAAAACAATACTGCTATATGCTCGCAAAGCACACTAACGCACCGGGTTTTCCTCGGATTTGGCTCACTTTTTCTTAAAGTTGGAGGGGAGAGGGAGGCTGAAGCCCAATTGAGGGAAGTTGGAGCCCCAGCTGAATAGGAAACTTCACCCCTGCCTCCATCGCAATACAGAACCGCAGTCATATCTTTGGCAGTGCGAACTGCAATGTCAGTGTGGCGTACTCCACTCCCCCGCCTGCTTGTGCCTTTGCACTGCCCCGCTCTCCTCTCACGGTCGGGGTAGCGTGCATTCACGTAACCGACATCCTGCACAGGCCCCTGCCCGCCCGCTGGATTTCACTTTCAAGGGCGTTCGCAGGGGCGGCGCTGCCGGCGGCGAGCCCAAGAAAGTCATCGTGTGACGGTGCCTGGCGTGCGGCGACGAGCTAGCGCAGCGCAGGGGGCTGCTGCGGCGCTGAAGGCGGGTGCGGCGGCCGGTGGGTGGTGCTGGTCGGCGGAAGAGGACACTCGTGACCTTCCAGGACACCAGGTCGGCGAAGAAGGACCGGACAGGCTCTCCGGTCACGCCCTGCGCCAAGGTATGGCGGCCGGACAGGTGGTCAGCTCAGCTGACAGCTGTGAGGTCACACCACCTGCGAGCACGCGCGACACTTTCAGCTTTGAACCGCATGACTGGATCGAAGTGTAAGCGTAAAAAGATGGTGTGTAGTCTGCTTACCCTGAGCCTTGGGTGCTTTCGCCGGATGTATTCTTAGTTATTTTCTCATGGTATCTGCTGCTTCCTTTAGAGTCAAACACATCAGCAAATTAGAAGTAACGCCAAGCTCTTCTAAGCACAGACTACAGGGATACTTCATGCGAAAATGCTCCTATGAATGTGAAAATGTTTTCATCAATATTTGATAATGCCACGCCATGCCAAACGACACCATATTAGGGGCACGGGGCACCTTTGCCACCTTTGTGACAAGGCAAGATTGGTGCACATAGCCCATGCGTTTCCAGCGATTCCAACCCCCAGCGTAATCTGCATAGACGACTGCAGCTGCGCAGCGGCGACCTGCGGTGTTCGGTACATATCTCCGTGTGGGCGATCCCGGCAGGCGTGGCTACATTCCTACACGGCGTTGCAGTTTCCCTGCGCTACCGTTCGGCGGCGGCCGGGCCCAGCGGCGGTGCAGGCTGGGTGTCTGTGCAGATCGCCATCAGGCGCACCCAGCGACGACTGTGCAGGCGCAGTTACGGAAATGAGACGAGTCTTATCGCAGGGGGATGCACCCTGCCCCGCTATGCCTGCAGATGATCACCAAATCGAGTGTGAATCAAACCTCGATGGCCGGTCGACGAACACGATTTCCTTTCGGGGATGTTTGGGATCTCCGGAATAGGAATCGCCTGCGGCATTTGACGTATGCACGTTGTTGGAGAGTACTTTATGCCTCATTCATATCTTGCAAAAACTTTAAGCGCTTGGAGGCTCGTCCTTATGATTTAATCTCTTTATTGCGCTGAATTCCCTTGGAAATCGGGAAGTCGAATCACTGTAATTGTATTTCGTTTGAGAGTATGCAGACCAAACGTCCTTAACAATGCAAAAGTTAAATTGTGCGGAATGAAATTGTCTTAAGTGGAAAGATCACTGTCGGTAACTACCAAAGCCTAAAAAAACTCAGCAATAATTCAAATGTTCAGTCTAACGCGTCCATTTGAGGCGTGCGAGACTTTAACGTCCGGCTAGCAACGCATCTTTCGATCGAAAGAGCAGCACATAAGCGTGACCACTACTAAGACTGGTATTGTCCGGACCTCACTAACTTTTTGGCAAATTGAATCATTTTTGTGCTTTAACCATATCAAATGGCACCAAGAGAGACGAGTTCCCCAGATGAAACGTCTGCAACATTTCAACTGGAGAACTTGTCCCTTTTCCCGAGATAAAACATTTTTCGTCTACGTCGGAAACATTTTAGACATAGCCACTCCAACGTCCACGCCCTGACCCCCGAATATTTTCCGGAATTATTTCCGAACGGTATGGTGTAGCCACACCAAATTCTGCATAGCTGTAGACAACAAAATAGCAAATCGTTTGACATCCAAAATTTAGATGTACCTTGTAAGGTCACTGACCTACAGTAGGTCAAAGTCAAACCATAGATTCCGCGAGGGCAATTTCAAGGGAATCGCTCAATTTGATGCAACAACGGAGCGTTAGACGAAGCCATACATCTCTGTGATACTTAAATGGACAACACAACAATTGAATTAACAAATTCCATTGACTTGGGGTGCGATATAAAGGCCAGACCAAGGTCAAAACCGACCTGTTTTATTGCTCTAGAGTTTGCTGGATGGGGTAGTTTGTGGTGCTCATTTTCAGTTTATTGACAACAGGAACCACATTATACATGTGCCTTGGAATTTCTGAAGGTCAGAATAGATCAATGACCTAAAATGGCCCAGGTAAGCTTTTTTAGGAACAAACTGCTTGGCGTAATTCTTGATGCTTGCTCAGATGACAAAAATTTAAAGCAGTCGTGTATGGTTTTGGTAACCATGGCCTTGGAAAGGTCACAATAGGTCACGGATCTCTAATAAACACCAGTGATTTTTACTTAGAGTAGGTATCTAGGTGCACGGCGGTTCATCGGAAGGTCTGGGGGCACTTTGAACACCAGTCTGGAGTTTGACCTTGTTAGACCTTATTTGACACGAAAGCCATAAGCTAGGAGCCTGAAGTTTTAGCACAAGCGAGTTCACGCAGGAGTCAACACTTCCTTTGAATTTAGTGCTCCTAGCTCGCTTAGTTTTTGAGATATCAATGGCGTCAAACTGACCCACACCCGAACGAACGGTATTTAACCGGCCACTCGGGCGTGCGTTCATGAGCTGTAGTCAACCCATCCATATTTTTTTACCTTTTGCTCCGAATTTTCATCTTATGCTACGCGCATCATTGTGTAGGTACGGATATGTAGGGAGGTGTAGGTATGCATATCTTGCGCATATCTTGCATATCAGCGCATATCTCACAATTCCAGTCTCGATACTCTCAACCGTATCAAGGAAAAATATAGTACTAGCAGCAGGCCAGATACCTGAACATCAGCTGTTTTCACGAATGGTTGTTACGTGAGGTGTTTTGGCAACTTGTACTCAAATAGTTAGGATTTGAAAGAGATTCAGCAGTTATTCGAGATAAGAGCGCCCTGCTTCGTTACTCATTAAAACTGTTTGTAACTCAGATATGATACGCTGAAGCCGCTTGAGCAACACACATTTTCGTGCGATCGATCGGATTTCGTGCGAATGGAAAACATGTGAAGACATGGCGGTCCAATAAGCCCTGGTGAAAAGGCCGTTGATAGTTACAAACCACCCCGTGCCCATTGCGATACCCAAATTGCACTCCTAAAAACAAAATAACAGACAGTGGTCCACTATAAATTTTTATTCATCTCATGCGAGGTACATGAGACACATTAAAAGCACTGTTCGTGGCCCATCGTTCCCGACCCAGAGTTCCTGAGACGCCTACGTCGTCAAAAGCAAAATTCATGGACCAGCGAATAAAATAGACCGGTGCTGCCGGGGCCAGCTTCGGTGATTTCGGTGAGGCCCCTGTCACAGCAAGTCCGCCCCTCCCAGATGCAATCGCAGATCGCACCGTAGGCGCACCTCATCTCTCACCCCGCACCTCATCTCACCCCTCATCTCTCAACCCGACCCCATCGTGTCACTGCCCGGCCGCGTCCGACGCTCTCCAGGCGCCAATAAACGACCAGCCGCCGCGCCATCTGTCGCCGGCCTCTAATTCTGGACGGCTTTGAGGGCCGACAGCACCACACGGCCCAATCTCGAGTGTGTTCCAATCTGTTCATCAACGCATGGGGCTGATGACATCCCCACAGCGTCAACCGGGCAGGAGTCGAGCCAGCCGCATTCAGAATCCACGCGGGACGCGTGATTGTCTGGGACTCACTCAAACTCGACTGGATTGATTTATTTTCTACAGGGGTCATCTTTGAACTCAAACTTGACAGATGAGCAGTCTGAGGAGGCGGATATTGACTCAGAGTCATGTCCAAAACTCGAAACTCATGATTCAACTGGAAATAACTCACCGAGAGGCGCTGTACGTCCGCCGGTCAGCTGATCGTGACGTCACCTCGCTAGCTCCCACAATAAGGGCTCAAGAGTTGGTTACAAGGCTTGGTTCATTGCCGGCTCAAGGCGATTTGCTTCGCGATCTCATATTTTCTGCGTCACAACCCTCAAAATTGTCTAGGTCAAGGTGAGATCACTGACCGAAACAGGAGGTGTTCCAATCTCTTTTTACTTCTCTAGTGCCTGAAGCTGGTTTTTTCGGCAAATCGTCTCTCTCTTTACCTCAGTTTTTAACCTTATGTTTACACGGGGGGAACTCGGCTCCCTTTTGTGTCTTACATCATCGCCAAGCTGTTTCAGCTAGAAAGCTGAAATTTAACACTTTTCTTGGCCATTAATTAAACATATCCTAAAGACATTTTGGCACACGGATCACCCAGACGGAACCCCGGGTCGGTTTGTTGAAAGCACGGCAGGACAAATCACAGGCTGTCGAAGACACGCACTGGCACATTGCAACCTACTATTGGAAGTCAATGTCTGTCTTAAATATATGTTCATGTGAAGTCTATTGCGGACCACATTCTCCCTGACGCCACCCCTGTCCCAGGGTGACCATTTCGCGCCAACAGACCGCATTTTCCCTGACGCCACGCCCGTTCCAGGGTGACCATGTCGCGCCAACACCGCCACGAGGGGCGCCACCATCGGGACGACGTGGAGAACCGGTACCAGGAGGACGAGGAGGACGACCGGCGCTACCGACATCGAGATGACGATCACCGGCAGCGGGCTATGCACCGCGACTATGACGAGGTAGGGAGGGAGAGGGTGAATATGAGATTGCGCCAAACGCCGGATCGCGGAAGGACAACTCAGAACGGCTGTGTACCGTTTTGTGGCCATTTTCCGTCGCTAGGCAGACAGGAGTTTGGCGTTTCCATGCTTGCAGACTCCACAAATTTAGCTACCCAGTCTCACCTTTTCCACATTTCTTGTTATCCTAATGATGTAATTACTGCGGTTTTTGATGAGGTAAACGCCAACGACCAAAGAAAGGAGAAACATGTCATTTGCTGTAATGCAATCCGAACCCCCGAATAAGGCGAGCACTACATGATACTCCGCTACGGCACATCCACTCTGTATTTGGTGATTCCACGGGTTAGGCGCAGATAAACTATTCGTCCCGGTCGTCTTACTCAGCAAAGTCAGATATCACATCGCTCGCCCCGTCAAAACGGCTGGACGATACCTTCGATATCTTTCGATATCTTTCATAGATATCTCTAAAATGGATCGACTTGCACATTCTACCTGCTTGCTGACATGTACGATACGGTGCCGGACACGAGCCAACTGCCCGTCACAAACGGAGAGCGTACGTGGTCGAGTCTGTACGTCGAGAGGTCAGGACCCGATTCCCGCTGGGGAAACCTTCACCGCCGCCTCGCCGCAGCAGCGCAGCGAGACAGAGCGCGCGCCGTCGGACCGGGCCGTGAGCGAGTTCATCCTGGACACGCCGCGCTACGACATGCACGAGCAGGAGCGCTACGACACGGGCCGCGGCCACCACGGCCGGTCACGGGAGCGCAGCCACGACCGCCGCTACGACGACGACCGCGGCCACGACCGCCGCTACGACCCGGAGGAGCGCGAGGCCAGCGAGATATACGCCGAGGCGCATCAGCCGCCCCCGGTCAGCGAGATGAGGTCAGTACGCTTGGAGGCGGAGTGTTGTATGTGGGTGTTGGACGGAATCAGTGCCCGTGAGCGCTTTTACCTGAGTGGGGGGAGGAGGAGAAGAGGTGGGAGTGGGGGTGGGGGGTGGGGATGCGGGTGGGGTGCCGTAGTTGGCGTGGGAACGAAACACGTCATCAACGGCTGAGTAAAGTCACCAAAACGCGGCTAGTTCGCCGCAAGGTAACCAGTATACCAATGCCTAATCAGAGGAGCTGTAAAGACGAGTCGCGCTGACCAGTGAGAAGGCCGAGTAGCCCAGGCAAGTGTCTGTGTGTGTCGCAGACAGGCGCCTTACGTCCTTCGCCATCGAAGCCAGCTCAGTTGGTCTACGCTCGGCCGATAGCCAGCACGTGCATGCGAAATGAAAGCACGGGAATAGAATGAACGAAATGAAAGCACGAACAGCACATGACCGATGATGATGATGATGATGATGATGATGATGATGGTTATGCTGATGATTTGGGACGTAGGGCGCGCCGGCTACCCTGGCCATATGGCGTCCCTATTAAAACCCTGATGCAGCGAAGAAAATACAGAGACGTATTTGTTTGGTCCGTCATTGTTTCGCTTGTAATGTGCATGCCTCAGTATTTATGTCCGCAATTCACTCGTGTTTTTGTGATTCATCAGTCACATTCAGGTTTCATTAATGTCGGCCCGTCGCCTTGTTCCAGCCACTACGCCCCAAGCCAGCGCACTTACCGCAGCGGGGTCTCAGACGGCACGATGAAGACGAAGACGTCCCGCCACGGCAACCTGATGATGGAGACCATGGCAGCTCCTCACCCGTGCTGCCCCAACACGAAAGGTGGGACCACGATGAGGGACCACGGCGACCGGGCGCCATCCGGGTGCTGCGTTGGAGATGTTGTTCTGCGAGCTAACGTTCGCCTATCTTATAGCCCCCGATGGACTAGCACCGCACATGTGGCTACGGGTGGCTAATATAGGAGCCAGGCCGGCTCGCATCGGCCATTTTTTCCCTGCTCTTCGGTACCCATTCACCAGCGTCGCAAAGCCGACGGCAGGTGGCCGACCGCGTTCAGCGCAGGCTTCACGCGGTGTGGAAAATAACGTGCCCGAAAATAACGTTTTTCATCGTTCGTCTTCCACTCCGACCGTTTGTGCGGCGAAAGGCAACGGGTTCACAGATTCTCAGAGCCGCGCATGGTCACCGGCCGCACGCTTGATCGCAATGCTTTGCCGCCGTGCATTGCCACCCATACGTTGTCCGCCACCGCAGCCTTCGTCGCCTTGCTGACGTTGTCTTTGGCTTTGATTGGACCTTGCTGACGTTGCCCCTGGCTTTAATTGGACCGTTGTCGTTTGAAACCGCGCCGGGCATGCCGGGGACTGAGACCTGAGGCGTCGCATGTTAGCTGACTGTTAGGGTAATTATGACACGGCCCGCTCTGTTGCAGGCGTCTGCTGCCTCATGCTGCTGCTGAACTTGGCCATTCTGCTGATCGCGCTAGGTTTTGTCATCATCCTCCAGCTCTTCAATCCGCCGTTTGTATGGTGAGTGCTCACGCGGCTCAGGCCTGAGACTCGTCGGTGGTGCTCGTGCCTCTGTGCAGGCACGCGGGCGGACTACTACCTTTCTCACTGCCGTCTTGCAGTGAATGTGAACAATTCATTAATGTGAAACTGTCGCCTTTTCTAAGCCACTATGCCCCGAGCCATCGCACACAACGCAGCGGGGTCTCAGGTAGTTGATGGTTCGACTGCTTGATGCTTCCATTTCCAAACTCTTCTCCCGTATACCGCTGAGAAAACTCGGTGTTCAGGCATCCCCCGGACGTGCCGTGCCCTGCCCAGGTGCCTGCACCGTGTTCTCGTGCACGCAGGGTCATGTGCTGTGACGCGCATCGAGTCATTGGCCGCGGATAAACCAGATGTGCTTCTCAGAGCCCCTTCCTGCCGGCATGCGGGAATACCTACTCGGGTCACATGCCGTGTCCCCGCACAGGTATACCGCGAGCTCTTCAAGTAGACCGCACCGCTAGCTGTGGTCACACACGCAGTGTTCCCCACCATACACACCGGCGCACGTGCACGCATAGGTGCGTTTCACTGACGTCTGCCAATTACGTAACACGTGACGCGTCGCCGGCCAGGTTCATCGGCCTGGCGCTGCTGATTGGCGGCTTCTGCGCGCTCATCTTCTGCCTGGTGTACTGCGTCTGGGTGTGCAAGGACGCGCAACGCGCCAACGATCAGGGCGAGCTGTACTGGACCCACCACTGGCAGAAGCAGTGGGGCTACCAGCCTTCCGAGAAGCCATCCGAGCCGTACCGGGAGCCCGAGCGGTACTGAGGCGGCGCACAGCGACACGCAGCGGTACCGAGACGTCACCGGCCGCTAGCTGCTACTGGTGAGGGCGCGAGTACGCTGGTGGCGTGATGGCGTAGCGGTCTGAGCGCCGGGCTCTCACGCGAGATTATGCGTTCGATTCCAGGCTGATTTTGCGCCCTAAGCAATCGCTGTTTTTGTAAGGGGCCACTATGAACGCCGTCGCGTGCCCTTTTATGTAAAGCCGTTGACTGCAATGGCCATATAAGCACCCAGGGGTCGTGGCACAACTGGGATTCGAACTCAGGCCTCCCCGTGGAGCCGAAGGCGCTAATCACTCGCTCATTACGCAATTGCTGCAATACATGGGGGGGGGGGGGGGAAGGGAGCGCGTCGTGTGCCACTCTTTGTTAAAAGGGACGTGGGCATTTGACTGAGATGTACGGTCCGATTCCGTGACACAGGCTCGTAAGGCGGATATTCGCACGGAAAAGTTCGCACACAAATTTTTGTTGGCGCATTCGCAGATGTCTGCAATGCAGGCGTCCGTGAACGCTAATATTCGTACTTGCAAATGTTCATGTCGCGAATGTTTGCATTGCAGATGTTGCACCGCAAATGCGTTCCTCATTGCGGATGTTCCTAACGCTTATGCCGTAAACGCTCATGTTCATGCGCACAAACGTTCGGATGAAAAACCATTGTCGTTAACTTGTGCCCTCAAATGCCCGCTCCAGAGACGTTCGTAAGCGAACGATACCGGTACCATAAGAGGGCATAATAATGTTCAGATAGGGCGCCTAATGCCGTATAAATATGTAGGGATCCTGGTCACCTTCCCAATTACCCTCAGACTTCAGTATTGATTTCATATTGTCGCCACCGACATGGTATATATATATATATATATATATATATATATATATATATATATTACGACTGGGAGTGCTGCTACTGGGACTCCCCCATAAGGACCCGTCATCGGTAAATGGGCAGGGCGTGGGCGCTCGGGCGAGGCTTGCGCCATGGAGGGTGGGGAAGGGGGTACTTCAGTCTATTCCTGGCTGAAGCATACAGCTTACCCCGGATAAGGTGGTCGTTGTGTGAGTGGAGGATAAAGCAGCGAATAAGGGAAGCAGTGCCGATACTGTTGTTGTGTAAGCACTGCCAGGGGTGTACTCATCGCTTGTTGAGCCAGTGTTAAAGCCGAAGAGATTTGCAGAAAAGCAGTTTCCCCTTTACGCTGTAAAGATAACATAATGAAAACAGAGAAGTTAACATGGATTAGCATGAGCAGAATACGCTGCCCATATCAAGACACAAAAATTAATTGTTGGCGGGCTCGATCTTTCTAAAACAGCGCGCAATGGCTCGATATCTCCATGGCAACGGCCGTTTGTCTGGCCGCGCCCATCTATGGCGTCTTGGTTTAACCATATCGGCGGTGTTCACGAGAGATGGAAGCTGGTGGCCTGAATGTGACGTGACTCATTGCCATGGACTTACCTTCGTGAAGGACTATGAGAAGGGAGAGACCGTGGGCTAGAAGACTGTACAATTGCAAACACAGCAAGCGCGGAATGCGTTGGCCTCGGTGTCATGAGAGTTGGATTGACACCGCCGTTGTTTCCACTCGTGCGACTTTCTTAACTTCCCAGCGTAATTTTTTTCGGGCTTAGGAACATTTGCGATAAAACATCTACACAAGCAAACATTTACCATACGGACACCTGCGATAAGAACACCAGCGTTTACGAACAGTTGCAGTGCGAACATCTGCACACACAGACATGTGTGGTTACGAACATCTGAGGCGCAAACATCCGCAATACAGAAATCAGCATCTAGGAAAATGAGCGATTGGGAAAATACGAACATTTGCGATATCTGCACCTGGTTTACGAACATGCTTCTGGTCTACGCTCGACCCGGGTGGGGAGCTGAGACACCGCGCTGGGCACTGAACAACAGGAATACACCACGGAGGCAGTTGGTAAAGGCCCGAGACCACGCAAGACGCAACTCAGGCCCTCAGGGACCGGCACTAAGGCACTGGGTCACTAGGTATGAGCCACTGGGGGAGGGGCAGGAACAAATCAATGGAAGTGGCGGGGGAGCAAGAGCATGACACTGGGATGCGAGAGTCATGTGCTGGGGTAGGAGAAGGTGCGGAGGGAGGGAGGGAGGAGAGGGGGGGGGGGGGGGGCGAGAAACTCGGGCGTGGGATTGAGGCACGGCAAGGAGTAAGAGACTGAAGCCCTGAGAATGCGCTTTAGGACGCGGGAGTACGGGACTGAGATCCTGGGCGGTATCGAAAACATTCCGCAGCTGGAACTGGAGCACTGGGGACGGAGCTGAGACACTACGGTACAGTATTAGGTGGCGGGACTGGCTGAGGCCATTGGAGGACGGAAACAGGGTAACTGGAGCATACGACTGATGCACCGCGAAATGGGACTGAAACACCGGAGACGAGACTGAGATGCTACAGGTGGGACTGGGGCACTGGCGATGGGACTGGTGCGCTGGGATGGGACTGGGGCACTGTGGATGGGGCTTCGGCACTAGGGATGGGACTAGGGCACTGGGGCTTGGACACCGGGATGAGGCTGGGACACTGGGGGTGGGGATGGGACTCTGGGGGCAGAAGTAAGGCAGGAATCAGACCCGGTCGGAAGGCGCGCAGACAAAAGTGCTGCTGCCACGGTCTACTGTTGTCCGACTGTCATCGGCTGCTGCAGTTGCGAGAACAGATTCCCACGTAATGTTTGTCTAACATTTAGGCTATGTAATGTTTGATAACGTTGAGGAGCAAAGGCACCCACTGTCGCACAGTCTGCAATGGACATTGATGAAGCGTCAATTCCACAGCCGTCTCACCACTGGAGTCAAGGAACAGAGCAGACGTGAACGAAGACGACAGGAGACGACGGCAAGGATTCCCGAGCAGCGACTGCGGCGGCTCTCCGTAGTGTAGTAACATTCACGCATGCGTGTGGTATAACCGCATACATGATCACTTGACTTTCGACTACAGAGTCGATCTCCTACCCCTACTGGCCGTCGTAGCGTCGCATTACGTTGATCCGAGCTGCCAGCCGCCAGCCTGCCACATGCCGGCACAGGTCGCCGATCTGCAGACCGGCCCTTGATCAGCCCTCAGCGTCCGGCAGTGAGATGGGTGGTCCAACTGTGATGGTCTCTGATGTGGGGCTGGGTGTCCCCCCCCCGTGCCAACATGGGTCCGAATAACGACTGCGTTAACATATCGTAGCTATCTCGAGTCACGTCGAGGCGGGCGGCGGAATCGTCGCTGGGGTTAACGTGGCTGCTCGTCATTCCGTCCCGAGTGAAGCGTTGTGAGTAACCATAGTAACTTATGACGGCATGCTATTATTGGTGTGATTAGAAGCAAAGGCGTGGTGCAGTGAGCAACACGAGGCACAGGTAACGCAGTGATCAACTTTAGCCAAACAGTCAAATGTATAATTATTGTGCTGGTTATGCGAGAAACGCCCGCTGTGTGATTGAGTTGGGCACTGTAGAGACATAACGTCGACTAAAGGTCGCGGTGCCGAGTGTGGACGGTGCGCTGACCTGGTGCGTAACACCTGTAACACGGCGGCCGTTAGAGGTTGGTGCACCGTCGCCAATGACTAGAACATGACTAATACATTATTCCTGAGACGTCAATTTCCGTGACTGATCATGAGCCTAGCTGCCGTCTGCAGATTCTACCATAATCGACGACGCGGACGGAGAACATAATTTTACCACGATTACCGATCTTCCACGATAGAACTTTGCCAAGTAAAATAATTTTGGGGTGTGGTTGGGTACATGAGTTTGCTGACGCAGGGCGTTATTTCCGGCGTTTCACCAAAATATTTTGATTGCAGTTTTTGGCTATTTGTTTTTGTATAATGGGAGCGCACAAAAGTTTAAAAAGATACATTCCATTGGATGTCCCTGGGACAATAATCTTGCTCACGAAGCCGTTTGCGGAAACAATTCCCAACACCACAGAAGAGCACTTCCAGTATAACGGATAACTCTTGCTTCGGCCTCTAGCACTGAAGAGAAGTTCGTCATCACACGCAAAACCACGTCACGGTCGACCCGCGGTAGCCTTGCTCCCTGCGCCCGTCACCAGCTGACCACAGTTCATGGACCGCGTGAGCACTATTTCTGCGGAGCGAACGCGAAATCCGCCGCCAGGTGGTCCATATTTGGCGCTGTGCCAACTGGTTCACGCGGCGGGCTTCATCCTCGCCCGTGATATGCGCTGCAATTGCCTGATATGGTCATAAGGCCTTCACGGGTCGACCGGCGCAACCTACGGCGACCTTATTGGACATTTCAGGCGGCTCAGCGATACTGCACTGAAGCGTGCATTAATTTCAACCGCAAAGACCATCTGTGTCCAAATCCCACCACGGCGGCGCCGCGAAGTCACCATCAAATCAGACCACAACTTGGACGTCGTTCTCGATGTGGATCAAATGGTCAGGGATGCGGACGTTATCGGGACTTTATTTGTCGCCAACAAGAGAGTGTGCGTCCGACGACACGGTCCAGACGACAGGCAAGACGGTCCACGTCGCAAATCAATTTCGGAAAAGCAGAAAATCTGAACGTGTTCCACCAGCTGTTTTACACATCAATTCTGCGCATGCTGGCCTGTGACGCCTTTAAGCAAACAAGCGGTAAAAACGCAACGCCTCATTACGGCGAATTAGAACGTTTGTTGGGGTGGAGACTCCGGGTTGGTGTTCCCGGGTAAATGCGAATTTAAATAGAAATAAAATCACGCTATTAAACCCGTATATTCTTCATGCGTTATCCCTTCATGTCAGCGTACATACTGACCGCGCTTTGGCTACTGTAACAGAGCATGTAGCATCACTTTCTACTCAGCACTTTCATGCTGACGCTTTCTTAACTCAGACATGATTCGGCTGCATAGCAACTCCCCACTGAGACTCTTTTGCTCCTCCTCACGAGAATTCCACCCGATTGGGAACGCCTGTCCGTATACCGACCCACACCGCTCCATAAAACATCAGTCGATCCTCCTCAATGACATTAATCCCAGGCAACTCAGCAGTTTCAGCAAATCAGCTAAACGTCCGGAAGCGCTGAAATAGTCTTCCAAGAACGACAAAAGTTACATCCGCTTACTCCACATCGGGACAACTGCTTGTTCCAGTTTGCTGGAGGGGAAGATTGCGCTCCTGATGAGCACTTCTTTACGGGCGGGAGCACAGCTCGAGCGAGTGGCATGGCTCGTGCCTCACAGACTCGTATCCCAGCAACCAATGATCGAGGCCACGGGGAATGCAGGAGGGCGCGATGACCACAGCCCACTTCATAACACTCAAAATAATCACCTGTGCGCGCTAAACTCGTAAGTTGAGCGCGTCACAGGCGGGC